CCCGTCCTGAACTACCATATTTCAAGCCACCAGACTGTAGCTTTTAATCTGTTATTGTATTAAGAATTTGATTATATTGACGTTTTTCTTGTTTTCGTGCTTAGCGCCCAACACTATTCGTGACATATACCATTCAAAATTGTATTACAAGGACAGAACATCATACTATAGTGAATTATCAACAATGGTATTTTCCAAAAGGGCGTTGTTAAATGTTTAAATTTTATTTTTACGTATTTTATATTGCTGTCTATTCACGATCATATGCACTGTTTTGCTTGACTAACTATTATAAATTAGATGATCGTACTATTTTGCAAATTTAACTATTATATTTTAGAAATTGTATTTTTAATGACCTTACTTATTATATTATTTTATTTTTCGCACAAGTACTATCAAATAGTACAAGTTACTTTAAATGGTATTTTTCCCTTTTTTATGTCAAAAAGCCTACCTATGACCTGTGTCTTCATGCTCGGTTTGACAGCGACTCAAAGAACTTCCAAGAACTTAAGAGAGTTTTTAGTTCCAATATTTTGAACTTTATTAAAAAGAGTGAAAATATTTGAATTTACTTTTTAAAGTGTTATATGTATGTTCTTCTTTACAATATTTTTTACAATACGGCCGGGCGCAAGGGGGAGCTAAAAAAGTTCTCAAAAAAAATTGAAAAAAATTGAACATGGTCCCCCCGGTGAAATTTTAGAAAAAATTGAAAAAAAAATTTCAGAAAATGGCACAGGGTTGCCTTGCCTTTTTTTCCGCGGTCGCTCTCACAAGGCAATGTTACAAACTACTCCACGCCAATTATAAAACGAGTTATACCGTTGAAAAGAGCGTTAAAAGTTAGTCTATAATCAGCTTTTTTTTAGCTCCAGCCAAAACTTCTTGTCAAGATAGCTGATCGCCAAAATGAAATTGACAGGATTTGAACTCTCCGCCTTCTGCACCCCAGACTAACTTGTTAACCACTCGACCACACTGGATTGAAGCTTCAATCTATTGGTTTTGCTCAAGACGAATGAGAAGGATCAAATAGAAAACACTATGTAAATCCTTTGATCGCTTTGTAGCTGCCGTGCCACATGGTGTCGGCAGCTAAAAAAAGCTGATTCTAGACTAACTTATAACGCTCTTTCCAATGGTATAACTCGTTTTATAATTGCCGTGGGGTCGTTTGTAACATTGCCTTGTCAGACCAACAGTGCCTGCCCGGCTCTGACAACGGTTTGGTAGAGCATTTTAGGTGAGAAAAAGGTAGGGCAATTTTTTGGTAATCTGTGTGCGAAAAGGCGAAGAAAAGGGTAAGGGCGAAGTATATGTATAATTTTGACAAAGCTTTAGCCCATTAGTTTTGTAAAGAGAAGAGGTGATAGTGAGAGAGGGGAGGTGCAGTAAGTTACTAAAAAGGGGGTTTTATAATTTTAGAAATGGATATAAATTTTATACGTTAAAATACGTATCTAAAATTTAAAAAAAATTTAATAAATAATTCAAAATTAAGCTTTGAGGAGGAATAAATCTCTTTGTTCTTTAAAAGGGACCAATTATAATATAATTAAGGTTTGAGGGTAAACTTGGCAACGGGGTTTATCAAGCTATGAATAAAACATAAAACGTAGTCACAACTGTAGTACTGAACACTTTAGAACAAGGGTGTGACTATTCAAGGTGGGGCAAGGAATGGTAAAGGTAGAGCAGTGACTGATAGTTTATGGTATAGAATGTTATGATTAGAGTAGGGCATGGTATGTAAAGTAAAGTATACTAATGTAGGGCATGTTATGTAGGTAGAGTATGCTAATGAAAAGCAGGGTATCATTTATTTATGCCATAAGAAAGGCAAAGGTGTTTTTTAATTTACATCAATTTAAGTACAATGAGCCACTCAACATGGGTCTTACAAGTATTTAAATATCCGGCTAACAATGTAAGTGACAATAGAAAAAGTGCAAAATTACGTGTATCGTGAAATGCACTCGCTAAGTACATGTGATTTCTTGGTATGTTATTGTCATTAAGCATTTCTTTGCTATATAAAGATATAACATAAACAATATGTCTTGCATTATATACATTTTGATATAATACCATGTATTTTAATAAGTACTATAAACAACTTTAAAGATAAGTATAGGGGATTTTTTTACATGGTTAACTTTATAATTGTAAGAGTAGTCGCCATATAAAATTTTGATAATACAAAGCTTTACGTTACTGAGTAGAAAACAGCGTTTCTTGGCTTTTATTCTACTGTATATAACGTATATATTTATATATATACAGGTTGTGTTAGTGCTTACATAGACGTACTTTTTTCAACTACATTTTATCAAGCATTACTATCATTAAGCAAAGTATTGTAATTATTTTGGTCATCCACGGGCTGTTTTTTGTATCAGTACTCTTACTACCAGGCAGTAGACGTGTACACATGATAAGACATAGCAGTGCATTGGCAGGGCATTGGCAGGGAATCGGCAGGGCATTGGCAGAGCATGGGCAGGGCATTGGCAGGGCATTGGCAGGGCATTGGCAGGGCATTGGCAGGGCAGGTATACTACTTTGATACTATCTTATAAGTGTAGGAGTGTTCTTTCCTGTTGAATTTTAAAGTATTTGTGTGCCGAAGCTAAGATTTACTTCGTATGTTTACACGTGTACGATTAGTATTACAATTAGTGTCAACGTATGTTAATACCCTAGTACTTCTTCGTTTACACTTTTATTTACATTGTGTTTTGTGTAACAAGGAAGGTGTCAAAAATCGAATTGAGGGCTTAGACAAGTAGTAATAGCTAAAAAAAACTCTGGGATCGTCCTGCTTACCATGTCATTTACAAAAGAAGAACAAACCAAGTTTGAGCTGAGTCAGAGCCTTTGCCAAACCGAGGGGTCTCTGATACATCCTGTACATGTTCTTTGTTCCAAATGCTATTTTACGCTACTGCAAGACCTTTTTTAAGCAAGGTATTATACCCGAATACATGGTGGTCTCGGTTAAACCGTTTTTGGCGAATTATCGGATTAACTTTTGCTGTTACCGTGCCCACATCAGCGCGTAAAAATGCGTCGTATTTTGGAAGTTTTAACGAAATTTCACGCGAAATCCTATAATATGCGAGTAGTGTGATACAAAATTTACTTCTGTTTTGACAACTATCTTTCTCACATTTTATATTTTTGTTGGAAAGGCTCTTCTGTTCTTCGGAGAAAAGGGTTTTATACCTTGTTTTATTTACCCTACCCTGCCCTTTTGGTTGAAAGCCTTATTAATAATATAGAGAAGCAACTTTTTCCTTATTAACCTATTCCTTCCTTTTTCTTGTCCTCCTCTCCCACATCACCCCCTCCCCCAATTTCCTTTCCCTCCCTACACTCCCTCGCCTTGTAAAATAAAAAATTGATTTGAACTTTATGTTTCCTGCCTTCTATAGTAATAACAGTAGTAAATCTTAACCCTACATATGTACATTGAAATTACTGTAAAGTACATTTACTTTTTACTTTTCCGAGTACGACCACTTAGGTCTTTCCTGCAAGTCCAGCCAATCCTATTCGCTGCACTATAATACATCGTACTCTGTCCTATTTACCATGTAAAATCTTGTTTGAGTTTTACTCAGTAGCATCCTATAGAACGTCTTGAAATACTCAATCCTATTGGAGTAGTACAAAGTGTTTAGGTCTATAAAGCTTTACTATAAAGCTTTGCTAAACCTATATGGCATTACTGAGCTGGTGAAGCCGTATTAAGCCTATTAAACGTTCTTTTCATTTAAGCCTATAAAGCGTTTTTTGTTCTTGAATCTTTGATCCTATTAAGCATTGAACAGTACTATACCCTACTTTTTTAAGTATAAGCTTACTCAGCCTCGTACTCGATCTAATTGAGTCTAAATAAGACTATTTACCACCCGCATACTCAATATATCGTGACGTATCTTCGATTTGCATGCTTAATACCTCTTTGATTTACATGTTTAATATTCTTCAGGAGCTTTGTATCTTCTAGAAGGTATTCTTCGGCATTTTAAACAGCCGTGAATCCTCAACATAAATCTTCTACAAGCTACACGCTTTCAAATATAGCTTCTACAAGCTTACTACTACAACACTCTTTCGATCGGTTTTATTACCCTAATATAAGGGCTCTTCCACTGCTAATATAGCCTTTTCAACCCCTTTTTGTAAGCTTTTCAACTACTTCTTGCAAGCCTTTTAACTACTTCTGAAAAGTCTTGTTCTACCGCTTCTTCAGTGCCTCATCACATACCTTTTGCCCTTAGCGGCCCTGTTTAATAAGCGTTCAGAAGCGGAAATCCGCCAACAGAAAGGATATAACGACAAATCCCTTCGCTCGTGTAGTGCACGCGGCTACACCGCTCTATTGGCTGGTTAGCTGGAGAAATTTAACGTCAAGCAGAGACGGTTGGAGGGGAAGAAGCGGCTGAAAGGTAGGAAAATGCAAGAGATTGGAGTAGAAATCGGGCTGTAAAAGATGATTTTGTTTAAAAAAATGGAGTTTATTTAAGGTAAGGGGTAAAAAAACATTAGAAAAAAAAATCATTGTAAGGCTCGTTGAAGCAGTACTCTAACGTTTAAGTTAGGAAAGGGCTTTGCTAAAAGAAAAAAGGTCATCGTTACTGCAGTATTTTTATATATGCCTAATAATCACAGTAATTATTGTGTTTTCAGATCAACCCTGGCTTCTTGAACCTACCTAATACACGTAACAAATATAACTGAAACCAAGACAAGATAAAGAAGAAGAAAACAAGAGAAAACGAAGATACTACGCGTTAAACAGTCAGAGTACCAAAAACATTACTGCAAGCACACTCACACCACCAACAAAACATCACGTCCAAAACAGCCAGAGTACGACGAAAATATAACACTCAGCACGGCAAAGACATCAAGAAAACACCACACCGCGAAGACAGCACGACAAGCGACGAAACATCACGCCGCCGGATTAAAGTGGGGTGGGGCGGATGACGGCGCCCGACTGGAGCACCACTCCCCTCAATTCAACGACGACCATCGACGGCGTCTCGGTGCGCGCTCTCATGGCCGCCAACCGCCTCAATCTCACGGTCTGTCCGGAAGGCGTGTACTCGGACGATCAGAAGGGCTACCGCATCTACGCCAACATGCCCATCAGTATTTTTGGGATTGTGGCCAACATTTTGAATATTTTCATTTTCGCCGACGCTGAAATGCGAACGATGCTGGTGAATCACTTTTTGTTGGCGCTCAGTATTTCAGGTGAGTTGGGAAGATGGAAATGGTTTTATAATTTGGATTGATTTTGAAATTTTAAAGTTTTTAAAAATTTGTGATTTAAAATTTATTATACGTTGCGGTAGTAACCCTGTAAAAATCCGGACTGGGACTAATTTTACAGTTTGGTCTACGGCCGTTTTACATCTTTTGCCAATCAAATCTTTCGTTGCGGGACCTAAGCTGGGCCAGTGTAGTCTCAGTTTGAGTCTCAGCTTTTGGGCTCACATGTACTAGCCCAATCCTTTTAAATCTTGAATTGAACTAGCCTAGTCAACCTCTTTTCAACTAGAAAAAACATTTTAAATTATTAACAAACGATTACATTTCGCTATAAAATTAGAAAAAAGGTTTGTTATGATAATGCAATACGCAAAGCTAGGATGAGCACATTGCGAATTTTGGCTAGGCTCTGACCGTCAGGGAAGGCGGTTAAATTGTTTTTGATTAAATAGATTTTTTTTTATTTTAAATCTTATTAGAAAAGCAAATTTAAAATACTTAAATAGGAGGTTCTTCTTCGCTACAAAAACAAATAATATTACTGATTTACGATGCTTTCTGCAATATAATCGCATTAATGACACATTGTTGCGAACAAGCTGTATAAATTTGCAAATCCTATTATCTTATATAATTTTACAATGTATTTTTATATAATTTTTGTTATGACCACGCCGTTTTTCGTAAAATTACGTTTTTAACATAATTTTCAAATTTAATCATTTTAAATATTAAGTTTATTAAATAGACATAGTTCAAACAGAGACGGTTAGAGCTTCAAATTTGTTAGATATGGCAGTAAACTTTTTGTTGTTAGAATAGGCTAGGATTGCCTTATATAGGTAAGATTTACATTTGTATTTGAAGTGTTTTTGCGATTTGTCTGGTGAAGCCGTAACAAGAGTACGTACAATCGAGTATCGTTTTAGTTCCTCGTTATTAGTAATTGCAATGTAAAACATAAGTTGTGGGATTATCTTCACTGTAATCTTGAGCCAACTGAATTTGATAAACTTTTAGAATATACGATTTTTAAAATGCATTTTTAAAAATTTTAAAAAACTCTATTTTTCAAGCGGAACCGAACTTTTTTGGTTTTTGAACATCTTTAAATGCACAACTCATGAACAAAAAACTATTGAAAGATAAAACTTTCTGAACTTTTAGGACTTTTTATACTCTATAAAACGTACATCTTCGATTTTAAAACAAAATTTATGCTCACGCTTCGGAAGTATAGGTTACTGTAGAAATACTGTAACTTTTTTGAATCAACAAGAAAAAAAATTTTTTTTGCAGATTTGTTGACAAAAAGAATATGGTAAAATTACAAAAATTTTAATCCTCTCTTTTAGTTTCAAGACAATTATACATTACTCTCTTTCTATATAAGCAACCCAAAGGGACCGACATTTTGTGTTTACTATAAGGGGTGTTGTCTTTACAGAGGTTTTTTAGTGCAAATTGACTTGGCGGGGCCAAATTTCTTGTTTTCTATAAGGAGAGTTGCTGTTCACATGTATATAGAGAGACTACTGTACTCAAAATCGTTGTCTCCCATTTTTTATTGCCGCCACTGTTGGTTAGGGTAAATCTTGTTTTACTAACAAAATGGTTTGTAATGCTATCTACCTCAATTAAATTTAAAAATTTTTTTTAAAAATTTTAAATTTGTGTATTTAAGCGCAACCTCAATCTCGTACGTATAATTGGTTCGAGTAATCAAATATTTTGTTGTTTATGGCACGTGCTGATTGTTAACTCTTACTTCTTCGCGCCAAATACCAAAAATTACTCTGTTTTGGGGCAATTAAAATGTGCTGTTATTCGGTGAATCCGAAGTCGGCCGGGATAATCCCAAAAAGAAATAATAACCGTGCTACCATGATTAGCATGTGACATAAATTTACATAATTCATGTAAATGAATATTTCTTTGGCCGTGGCGATGTAGTGTTTTTGGCTTTACATTGTTAATGTAAGGCGTGTAAAATAGACTGACTGTGAATGGAATGGTAGATGAATGTGAAAGAGTGACATTAGAATGAATATATTGTGTTGATATAACACATTGTGTAGCAAAAGTTATTTTTAAACGGAGTTAAACAAAAAATACAATATAAAACGGCAATTTGTGTCGTTTTTCACAGTAGAAAGCTTTGTAAACTAAACACAAGGTTTTTTTTGTGAACTAACGAAAAAACGCTTTTCACATTCAATCAATATCGAAAAATTCAAGATCAAAAACTTACGTTTTGAATTTCCCGTCAATTTGGCATTGTGTTTCAAGCTTACAATTTCGTCATTTTTTGATTTTTATTAATTTTTCTTTGATATACTAGTAGAATACCTTTAAATGAACCTACATTTTTAAATTTGTAAGTGTAGCTTGGCTGGAAAGTCGAAAAAGATATTGAAACACAATGCCAAGTTTGCCAAATTGACGGAAAACTCAAATATATAAATTTTGAAAGTTAAAAGGCAAAACTTAAATTTGTTATGGGTATTAATGGTTAGTACCAGGAATTCATATGAAAGTTGTGAGGTGATTCTGAGCGTAGGTAGGGTACTTTACTTGTATAAATATCAAAGAAAACGTACAAAAATTTAAAAAAATATTGTTGAATTAAAAAATTATTATAAAATAAGAAAATTAAACAAATTACACATAAAAAAGAGTTAAGGAGACATTTTTTCAGATTTACTACTATTAGCGTGCAATTTTTGTTTTTTGGTACTACCGGTGCTAGTGGTCGAATCCGACAACTTTTTCCTAAACAACTTGTTTCCTCAGGTTATTCGGTAAGGTTTTCACTTTTTTTAGGTCGTTCAAATAATTCTGTGCTTTATAAATATAATTATTTGTTTTGAAAGGGGCGCAGAATTATTTGAACTATATATTTATTTTTAAATTTTAAAAATTTTAACTTTTTTTATTTTTTTTATTTTGAGGTCATTTCTGTACTCTTATTACAAAGATTTAAACAGAATCTTCTAGAAGTTTGATTTTTGAACAAATTTTTCGAAAAAACGATTATTATATTAACCTGAAGCTTTGCTTCATCCGGTCTTCTTTATCCGATAATCATATTATTATTATTCAAATTCTAGTTAAAGCCTTCAAGTGGTACTAATCTAGTAGTTCGAACCTTGAAAAGTTTTAATTGTTTTCTATTAGTTTAATCCTGAAGAAGACTTATAACTACAAGTGGCATAGCCAAGCATAATCTGGCAAATAGTGGCTAATAAAAAAAAATTAATTTGTACTATATTGTATATGATAACATATATTTCATTGTACGTTTTTGATCATTAAGAACCCAAAGATAAGGCTAACAGTTTTAAGGTTAAAAAAGCTTAAGTTTAGGTAAGAAAACCAACTAAAATCACCATTTTAAGTAACAAAAATTAAAAAATATAAATTTAAGTAACACACCTTTAGAAAACACAAATTTAGGTAACAAATTCACTTTTCAGATACTCCTATCCTCTTGCCTTAACCGCCCAGACATGTGGCGTCTACCTGACAGTACTAGTCTCAGTACATCGCTTCCTCGGCGTATGTTACCCATTCAAAGCCAAACGATGGGTCACTCGCTCTCCAGTTCAATGGGCCATCTTTGGCTCGGTCGCCTTCAGCGTTCTCATCAACGTGCCAACATGGCTCGAACTGAGCGTAGTACCGTGCTATTCCGAGCGCTTTTCAGCACCATCACAACAAATAGCATTGGCACCATTTCACGAAATGACATATATTGTGATCAAGAAGACCATAGTGTATACGTTTGTCATGTTCGCCTTCCCATTTGCTGTGTTGATCACGGTGAACATAAAGATCATACAGGCGATGAGGTCGTCGTCCAAGTTGAGGAAGATGCATACTTATTCGACCAAAAGTGAATGTCAGAGTGAGAAAGAGGTTCAGATCAGTCAACATGAAGTGCTGTTGAAGCAGTTTCGACTATTAAAACATACCAAGTACAGTGAAATGTTTCAAACGTTTAGTAGACTTGGCAATAATAAGTAAGTTTTTTTTATATTGGTTTTTTACCAAAATATTGTTGTAAGTTAGGGCTCTGGGCTAGGGCCCTGGAATAGGGCTAGGGCTCTGGGCTAAAGCTTTGTGTTAAGGCTCAAGGCTATGGCTCTGGGCTAGGGCTCTGAGCTACCGCTTTGGGATAGGGTTCTAAGGTAAGGCTCAGGGCTCCGGGCTAGGGCTAAGCAATTATATAAAACTTCCGTCTTTTTTGCTTTGTCATTCTTTAACGTTACTTTCATTAATAGTACCAAAAAAGTGTTTTTGTTTTGGGACAATTAATTCAGTTTTGCAGAAAGCGGGATTATTGGTCGGAACTCAAATTATGACCTACTTTTTTATTGTTCATCAAAACGAGTAGTATAGCATAGTCAGAAATGTTACAAAAACAAATTTTGCTTTTCCAGGATTTGAAATTTTGGCATTTTTAATTAAAAATAAAAGAAAAAAAAATAAATAAAAAAATAGAAATAAAATACATTGTTTTAACATTGTTAAAACACAAGAAAATGTATATTTTGTTTAGAATTGATATTAAGTTGTATAAAAAGTAATGAGCTATGACTCATAACACGCATATCACATTCAGTAGGTCATATAGGTCTTAACGTTTTATACAATTGAAGATCATTTCTTCAGTTTTATATTGTCAAAATGTAAAGAAAGTTTTGCAAATTGGAAAATTTTAACTTTTCTATCATTTTTTATCAACAATCTAATTTTTTTTTCATTACAGTATTCTAAAACCCTCGACCGACCTCTTCAAGAACCGTTTCACAAATTCATGGCGTGACCGGTCTGTGACCTTAATGTTGTTAGCCATTGTGGCCTTATTCCTACTGTGTAATGGCCTCGCTTTTTGTAATGGGATAATGGAGTCGATAATGCTGCTACAGAATGCTCCAGAAAGCGAAGAGCCTTCCGAGGACGTGCAATTTTTCGAACGTGCCGTCGAGGTTTCTAACGTGCTAATCACGTTAAATTCGAGCACGTCGACGTTGGTTTATGTGATATTCTCCAGCAAGTACCGGTTCATCTTTTTGGCATTGCTGGGCATTAAGGAGAGAGTTAGGGTAAGTTTTTTTGATGGCTGAAGGAGGGAGGGGGGGGAGGGGGTGCATACCAAAAATTTCAAAAAAAATTTTAATTTTTAAATTTTTTTGAAAGTACAATGTTTAAAATGCCATTCTTTTTCAGGTAAACCGAGTAGCCCTAACAACTGGTCTAGCCTGTCAACGAGCGGTAGAGTTGTCTCTAATCCCAGATGAAGCTGGGTCAAGGTCGGCCAAAAATGAATTCTGTGCTCAATTGGATATGATAAAGAAGCGACGTGGTACTGATACTATATCATGTTCTTCAGTTCATAATGACAAGGAAAATCGAAAAAAGAAGTTGTTCAGATCATGTCAGACAACTTTGGCTAATTCGTTGACCAATTCAGAGAGCAATTTGAAGTAAGTGTTATAATGTACTGGTTTTTGGGCTTTAATAAGGATGGGTAGATTAAAGGATGGGTAGCTATAGGAAGGATTGTTTAGGTTATGCTAAGGATAAGCTAGAGCTAAGCTTGAGGTTTTCAAGGCAAAAATGACATTTTTAACAAGCTAGTGACAATTTCAAAAGAACAGTGACATTGTTAAGAAACAAGTGATATTTTTAAGACAAAAATGACGTTTTTAGAACATAATTGATATCTGTGGAGAAAGACGGCAGTTTTGTGAAATAATTCACTTTTTAAATAAAAAAATGACGTTTTAAGTTAAAGACCATTTTTTAATGAATCTGACCAAAAAAATGAAATCATATTAGATTTTTTAAAATACTAATTTTGACATTTTTCAGATTGATGGATTGCCAAGACTCCAAATTCCGAACCACCTCAATTAGCCAAATGACTGAACATGAACAACATAGTGAATAGTATCTATAACTACGCTTCTATATGAAAACATGCCATTTTGAAAATCTTAACTGATCATCCGAAGTTATGCATAGTTTCACAGGCTACTTTGCTTTAAATACGGTTTAATTTTTACTTTTTTATGACATTTTTTACCTTGTATGTGCACAAACTTGCTCAATTCATGTATCTCAATATATATTCTAATTTTGAAATTTTTTTGAATTAATAAACTTTTATGACACTATTTTTGAATTTTTCTTTAATTTAAGTGTTGAAGACATTTTTTTATTTAAAAAATTACATTTTGTTACCTAAAAATGGTACAAAATAGCCTTTTTTACTTAAAAAAGAGCCAAAAAATACCTTTTATTACCTAAAAACGCTACTGTTCTCCAAAAAACCGTAATAAATATTATTTAATCACACAAACGTTATGCCAAACTTTATGTCAGAAACTGTCGAAAATGTCAAAATCATTGTCATAGTTAAGTCTTCGTGGATAGTAATGATGTCGTCGGATCTTGGCGGATGGGACTTGTCGTTCTTCGTTGTGGAACTTAGTCTCCAAGTTTATCGTTCCCAATTCGAAGCGTTTGTGAGGCATGCCACGGAGGGTGACATAGCTGTATGGGATGGCGAAGGTAACTATTCTTCTGCCTTGGTGGTTCTGAAGAAGATGTCAGTTTAAAAATGTCATTTTAAATGAAAAGTGTCATCAATTTATAATAATTTTTTTAAATCTCATGATTTAGCCTAACACTAGCCCCAGCCCTACAATTCATACTTGTTTCCCACCACGAAAACTTGGCCTTGTGTAAGGGATCATAACCCACAAAATCCGCCTCAAATTAACGCAAGGCATCTTCAAACGAACCAATTTAGCCCAAAACCCCTATAACAACATGAAAAAACGCATTTTTCGTTGAAATTCGAAATTCTTACGTGATCTTTAAACAAACAAGTGCAAGCTTTTAGATATTTTTAGCAAAATTTCCATACAAAAAACAGACTGATAACCTCAAGAATCATCTTAACACTCGAAAAAGGTTATCAAAAAATCATCTTAACAGAAAAAACTAGAACAAAAACTAGCTTTAACGTGAAGAAGAAGCCGGAACATTGAAGAAAACAGCTTAAAATTGAAAGAATTTCAACGTGATTTCAAAAAAAAAATGATTTATAAGGTGCGCCAAAAGTTCTGTTACAAAACTTTACCGGTGGTTTTCTGTGTATAATCAAAGAGATTTTAAACAATTTTTGAAAAACACATTTTGAAGTCAATAAACTTGCTTAAAAATACCATTTCACCCTATATCAATCCTTACACTATCAAAAATGACACTACTTTATGTTGAACTTGGCACCCCCCCCCCTGCACCTTTTTTTTCAAAAAAAATTTTAACATAATTTTGTAACAAAAAGCATAAAATTGTAATCAGAATTACCTTGTTATCATCTTCACAATCATGTGTTACCTTCAGGATGGGCTCGATATCAGTGTCTTCGGCGGTTGAGCCTCTTACAACGAATTCGCCTTCAATGTCCGTAAACATTTCGTCGAGGAGATCATCGGGGTCGGGCGCTGCAAATAGCAAACATCAGACAATGTGACAATAAAAATTGTATTTTTAATGTTTTTTTACTTTGACAATCTTTTTTAACAAAAATAATATAAATTTATGACAACCAAAAGTGACACCTTTATCAAAGCCGTCAATTTGAAATTGAGCTTATAAAAATGGAATTTAAAAAATTTATAGCATTTTTAGTGTTACATTGTAAAGGTAATCAAAATTTATGCTTCTTAAACGCCATCCCACATTCTCTATTTTTTCTCCCCCCCCCCTCAAAAAAACCAACCCCTCCCCCTTACCTGTATCAATGTCATACAAACTGACGCGCACATTTACTGCTGGCGAACTTCCGCACATTAGCCGACCGTTCGCTATAACGTTCTGTTCTCTAGCCAAAATCTGTACAATGTTGAATGTGAACAAAGCAATCAATGTAAAGTGGCGCATTGTTAATATAAATGGTGTGGTACTACTATACAGACAAAAAAATCTAAAAAAAAACAAATGTTACCATAATAAACCAAATAAAAAATAACAATAAGTTAGCGGATATTAGTCATCAAGTTATGATTGACACGCAATTTTATAAAAAGTAAAAAATGAAAACACGGTTTAGCTTCTGTGTAACAGATGGCTCGAGAATATTAAATTTTTTCGTTATAACGGAGTTTTGTTATAGGAGACTTTGTTATACAATTCTACAGTATTTAAAACTTATAAGAATCATAAAACGACGGAAAATTGATTATTTCAATACATAAAGTTTTAAGTGACTCAAAAATGCTGTGTCAAACCCGTTAGTATAAAAAAGACTTTGACCATGTCGATAACGCTTCTCATTATAAAAATTTTGGTTTTTTTCTCAAATGTTATTGAAAATAAAAGAAAACAGTTAGAAAAAACAATGTAATTTAGTTAAAGTTGGCTTATTAACTGCCAATAAGTTAGGTTTAAACAAAGCATTGTAACTAAAAATACAGTTTTTTCTTGAACTTAGCCCTTTGGCTTACGACGTTGCTTCCTCTCATTCCTTCCCCTCCCCACTCTACCCATAAAAAAATAAAAGTTTTACTTTTTATCTCAAGTTCTTCTATTTAACTCTACCCTAACTTAGCATATCCTAACATACGCTACCCTTCTTGATCTTACAATACCCTATCTTATACTACCCTTTCTTCCCCTTCCATATAAACCAACCCCCCTTGTAATACTTTTAAAAAATTGTCAGTTAAAAAATTATTGCCTCTCAAAAACTCATTAGCACTAAAACTTCCACAGACAGAGCGACGCCTTAAATAATACGTATTAAGCTGAAGTGACCTAAACATGACTGGACCGTCCCACAAAACGTTTTTTTTTACAAAAACGTCGCAGTCTCAAAACTTAGCAGTCTTATCACTTCGCAAAATATCGCTTTTCTAAGTTTTAATGCAAATTCTTTTTGAAATTCTTATACAAATTAAAAAAGAGCTCACTTATGTAGCATTATACTGAAATAAAGTTTTCTGTCAAAATGAATGTGCTGTTCAGTACTGAATGAAAAAATGCAACAAAAAAAAATTTTTTTTAATTTGCTCTTGACTTATCCTTGTCTTACCCTTGCCGACCCTTGCTTTACCTTTACTCTACTTTGGTCCAATCTTGCTCTACTCTCGCTTTAAACTTGTTCTATTCTTGTCTTACTTTTGTTGTACCTTTGCCTGACCGTTGCCCTACCATTGCCCTACTCTTGCTCTTCTCTTGCTTTGCTTTTGCCCTACCCTTGCTTTACTTTTGCTTTACCATTGCCTTATCCTTGCCTTATTCTTGTGCTCCCCTTTTCCTACATTTGACTAGCCCTGTCCTAACATTGTGCTATCTAAACCTTACCCTTGCTCTATCCTTATCTTTGGTTTACTTTTGTCTTACCCTTGTCCTGTCTTTACCCTACCTTCGCCGTACGTTTGCCCTACAGCTGACCTTTGCACTTCCTAATAAGTCAACTATAATGAACAGAACCTTGAACTAAACTAACTATTCCAAAAAGAACGGTCACTTTTCGCGTTCCCAAAACAAGAAATGAATAAAACTGGAGACAGCTTGTTTGGCCACCAGTCGGGGGTATCCTTTTTCGACTGTTTGGCCAATGTTTTGGGAAACAAATGGCCTTGAATTCATTACAATGAAACTCAATGCCGAGTAAACAAAACTAATTGGAACTGCTTTCATTTCATATTAACTTTGGGTACTGTAACTAATATTACTGCCAAAATTAGAATGTATTAATACTCCCCCCCCCCTCTTACATCACAACATAGAAATATTTTCAGTTTTGTATCCTTGCCAACTACCAAAACAGTTCATATAACAAGATACGAAATTAATTCCGATCACAAGCCCTTAAGCAAATATAAATAGATACTAATGTCAACTTTGAAATTTATTTACTTGCAGGCTTACTGTATAGTTAAAGAGCTAGATGACCTAGCTGATAAGAAGTTCTAGAACGGTCAATTTATAAATTATTTTAAGCTGCCCTGCCTTGCCAATGCCTTGCCAATCCCTGTCAATGCCTTGCCAATGCCCTGCCAATGCTCTGCCAATGCCTTGCTAATGCTCTGCCAATGCTCTGTCAATGCCCTGTCCTGTCTTGTTTTGAACTAATCTATCCTACCCTGCCCTTTTTTCTTCTATTCTACTTCATTGTGCCCTGTCCCGCTTTGCAATTCCTCTGCCTTGCTTTGGCTTAGTCTACACTACTCGCCCCGTCAAAAAATACCTGTTTTCTCCATTTCTACGTCCTACCACCCCTGAAACCAATACCAGTCAGCAAATCAAAGATTTGTCACAAACCGCCTTTAAACTGTATCAAGCACCCGTAATCAACTGACCAGTATTTGCTTTGGCGCTGTCCGCAATATGTAAAATCACGTTATTTTGTAATGAATTTCGGTGCATTACGAGATAAGACCCTAAATAGACATACCCGATTAAACACCTTTGGAGAAAACATGTTGTTGATCATGGATTTCAACATTGCAAACATTTTTGATGAACTATATTACTGTAGTTTAGTTGGTGGTTTTTGAAAAGCAAAGTTTTAAATTTTAAACTTTTTATTTTTAAATGTTTAAAATTGAAAAAAAAATCAAAAATAATACAGTAACCTCTAGTTATGGCTTATTTCAATACACAAACAAAAGTGGCAAATTATACGATTAAAAAATGACAAGTTATACGATGAAATATGCCCAGAAGGCAACAAACTGCCAAATTTTTTACAATTCAAAATTTTTTTTTAAATCAAAAGAAATAAAATTGTAAACCGTCTAAAACCCTGTGTATGACTTACAAATAAAGAAGCAAATGTTTTATCAGTTCAGGAGGTCAAACGGTGAAACAAAAGCATTGTCTCACTATCATAAGCATGCATACCTTGAAGTCTTTAAAAATTGTTTGCTCTGAAAGCTTATTGTCAACAAATAAAAAAAAATTTATAAATTTAGTATTGATATTTACCTGACATCAAAATCATAAGCTTAGTAATGGAAAAAAAATTATAAACTTTAAAAATAATCTTCAAAATGACTTATATTATAGTAGATTAAAAAGAAATATGAGTCAGTTCTGGTTGTAAACGGTTTAATCTTAAAAAAAAATAAATTTCAGTCGTTACGAACATTTATTTTTAGTACCTACTCTACCCTTTATACACTACTCTACTTTATCTACCTCCTACTTTACCGTACTTAACTCAATCATGGCCTATCCTATTCTATAATAAATTTTTTCTACTCTGCTTCTCTACTTTTACTTTACCCTACATATGTCTAGCCTTCTCCTATTTATGTTAAAAAAATCTACCTTATCGTGCCCCTACTATACCGTGTTTTGTATTCTGTTGGGGAGTGAACGGGGGGGGAGGGGGGGAGGACCTCCCGAGAAAAAAAATTTTCGAAAAAAGTTGAACGTGGTCATCCTTGTGGATTTTTTGGAAAAAAAATTTTTGTAAAAAATCAGCACAGGTAGCCGATTTTTTCTACCCCCGCCCCCAAACCAAAAGTCCTCGCCCGGCGTCCAAACATCAAAACACTTTAGTTAAAACTAAAACTTCAAATTCTTTAGAACACCACCTCTCTATCAAAACTATAACGTATGTTTGAGCCCAGACCATAGCTGACTAACAATATCAACTTTACAACGTAAATCCCACGTTTCCGCCCAAAAACTTGAGATAATAAAAACATGTGTTTCCTGACGTTTTTTGTAAAATTATAATTTTAAAGGCTTCAGAAAGTAACGAATTTTGCGTCAAAGCTTATCATGCTTATCAGAACCGCTGCTTGAGGAAAGCATGTCAATACGCTGGTAACATTTGTTTGTTTACTTTTACTGGGTCAATGATCTTTAAAAGACAGAAAATCGGGTTTAGGGGGGTTTAGAGATGTTTTTGATTGAAATAGTTACAGTAAGGTATAGTGTAGTCGTATTTTTTACAAAATAAAAGATACACTTTTAAGCCTATAATTCATTTTTAGCTTTAAATTTCTCATAAAAAAGTCTAAGGTCTATTTCTAAGCCTAAATTAATTTTAAACGCCATAGTTAGGTCAATTGAATTTTTAACGTGAATTACATTTTCTACCACATATATCAACACATAGTACATAGCAAAATAAATAAATTTTATTGTCGTAAAAACCACAGATCAACGGGATTTCGAAGCTGATAAAAGTCATGGGTGATAAATTTTTATGAGACCATATAATCACATATCGATATTATAGTATTCTAATGAACTTTGAAGAAAAGTCAACGTTGTGATAAGCAGAGAATGTAATATAGTAAGGAAAACCGACAATAATTACAGATTGAAAATAAATTACAGTGGGACTTCTGTATAACAAGTCGCTTTAAATAAAGTTCGTTTTAAAACCTAAAATTCGTTTTTTTTAATTTTATACACAAAACAAAATCTTAAAACTTTAAAGAAAGACTAAAATAAGTAAATAAAATTATTAAACAATCAAATTACATTATATTAAACTTTAAAAAATAGAATAAGTTTAGAAACACATTGTACAAAAAAACATTAATTTTTACAATTAGTGCTAATGACAAGATATTAACCCAAACACCTTAAAAACCAAGCCCATAATGTTAACAAGCCACCTAGTAAAGCCCACACCCTTTAAGCTTTGAACTCAAAATTGTATCCATAACACTGTCCAACACGAACTGAACCTGTTCAGTATCCGTAGCACAAGTCTGATGACAATATATATTCTTGTTGGGCACTTCGTTGGCCATAAAGAACTTTTTCTCGATATACTTGACACAAGGTTCGTACTTGAGCTCACCACTATACTCGGGGAAGGTCTTCTTCAGCGGAATCTGATTTTCTTCTATTTTCTCACGAAACAAGTCTTTTTTGTTCAAGAATAATATAATTGAAGTCTCGATGAAATGTTTGTTGTTACAGACTTGCTTGAATAATTGGATGGATTCCAGCATCCGGTTCTGAAAATTGCAGAAAGCTTTTTTAATTTAGTAAGTTTTAAAAAAGAAATTTAACAAAATTAATTTACAGAAAAAACTCTAAGATTTTGGCTAGTTTAAGGCTCAGACTACAACTAAGACTAAGGTCAGCTTCAAGCTCACAATTGTTAGGCTGAAGCTCTGACTAAGGTTCAAGCTCAGGCTAAAGCTAAGGCAACAATTAATGCCAAAAGCTTAGGCTCAAACTCAGAATAAGGCTCAAACTCAAGCTTAAACTTAAGCTCAGGCTCAAGCTTAAGCTCAGGCTCAAACTCAAAAATAAGGCTCAAACTCAAGCTCAAGCTCAGGCTCACGTTCAGGCCCAGGCTCAAGCTCAGGCTCAAGCGCAGGCTCAAATCCAAGTCTAAGGTCAAGCTTAGGCTTAATCTAAAACTAAGGCTCAGGTTAAAGCTAAGTTTAAAGCCAAAACTTGGGTAGTGTAGAGATACCATCACACGTTACTATAGAGCTATAAACCTAAATCTACAAGTACAAACAATAAAGCACTTACAGTAGTATTGTCCTCAATCAACACCTGATCGTACTCGCTCAGAGCGACAACAAAGATCACAGCACGGGCATCGTCAAAGCAGTGAATCCACTTTTTTCGCTGTGAGCGCTGACCTCCAACATCAAATACTCTGAAATTTCAAATTTATTTAAAATGCCATTCCGAATATATCAATATAGTACAAAAACGATCTTTTTAAGACAAACATAGCTTTAGTATCTTGTTACAGGGTGCGTAAAAAGTGGTGTTACCAAACTTTACCGGTCGTTTTCTCTATGTTGCGGTTAAATTATTTAAAATTTTTCATTTTGTCTTATTCTCCGTGGTTTTTTTATTGTATAACCATAAAAGTTAAGTCTTCATTGTCTACCGTCTGTCCGTATTTAGATGTCAAACATGAGGGCTACCGTCATCAAATTAAATAATGAAGGAAAAAGTAACCCCAAAATCGCGAAATTGTTGAATATTTCAAGAATGACAGTCCACAGAGCCGTAAAACGTTTTGAAGAGCTTAGACATGACTGTGACAGACTTAGAAGTGGGCGTCCAGCATCTGTTAACACCCTGGCCGATCGTCAGATGATCATGAAGCGAAATCCACGGACCTCAGTACGAAAAATAGTCCGGGAGGCGGAAATCAAAGAAACTACTTTGGGGCGCATAGTGGGAAAGAAATTTAAGATGAAGCCGTACAAACTCAAAAAAAAATCAAAAACTAACTAAAGAAAACAAGGCGGTAGGTATCAAAAGATGTAAACTACTCCAGCAGCGGGCCGCTGGTCAAAAAAGATATTTCTATTGTACAGAAGTCTACAATCCCCAAAATGACAGATAATACTCAACAGAGCCTTCTGAACCTGAAGCCATCGTGGCAAGTCGTCAACACCCTCGGGGCAGTATGGTTTGGGCCGGTATCTGTGCTTCAGGCAAGATTCCTTTGATTTTTGTTAATGAAGGCGTGAAGAGCAACAGAAAAGTGTATCAAAGGGACATTTTGGAAGCTGTGGTACTCCCTTGGGCTCAGAAGCTTCAAAGGAGCCGCATGGATCCTTCAGCAAGACTCTGCACCGGCCCATAAAGCAAAATCAACGCAAGAGTGGTGTCGAACCCATTTCCCTGGCTTCATTGCATCGGCTGAATGGCCTCAATATTATCCCGATCTCAATCCTATGGATTACCGTGTGTGGTCGATATTGAAGGCTAGGGTGTGTTGTAGAAGACACCAAACTTTGGAGTCTTTGAAACAAGCATTGATCGAAGAGTGAGACAAACTGTCACCGGAGGTACTGCGGCCCATCGCTGAAACCTTTTTGAAGAGTTTGCGCTTGTGCCAAGCCGCAACGGGCGGACACTTCGAAACCGATTGACTATGTTATAACTAGTACTATATGTTACTATTGTTAGTTGTTGTTTTAGTTATATTTGTTGTTAAAATTTATATTTGATTATAAAACCGGGTAACACCACTTTTCACGCACCCTGTATTGCACAGCGATGAAATTTTAAAATATAACTGTATTAAGATACCAAAAACAAATTTAACATTGCCATAACTCTCGTATCTTTACCACAGTAACAAGCACTTACCGCCACATTTTGTCCTTAATCTTAAACGTCACTTCAATAACACCCATAGTCGAGATACGCAGTAGTAGAATGTCTTGTTGGCTGGGTATGTAGCTAGGATTGCATATTCGGTCTAGTGAGTCGATAAAACTAAATTTTGAGAAAGTTTAATTAAAAGGTCATTTTATGATTACAGATGTACTTGTATGACACAATTTGTAATTTAAAATGTCATTTGATGACATAAATCAAAATTGAAAATTTTTAAATGTAAGCTTACTGTACAGAAGAGTCTGGCATATAGAATTCAGTTTTCCGGTCCATGGCCTTTTTAAAAGCCTTATCCATGGTAAGCTCCTTAATTGCCATATAAACATTGTCGGCTATGGGGTCTCCTTCCTTGTTCTTCTTAATTACTGCGTCGATTAGACGAGCGTGTTCCTTAAACGTAAGCAATTTTAGGCTTAAAACTTATGTTTTTTCAATAAATACAAACTTATTTTGATATGTACAAAAAGAAATGGCATAATAAACTTATAATAAGCTTATAAAACCAAAACTAAGTACAACGAAACTTTTGTATATAACAAACTGCTTGCGCTTTTTAAAGTTGTTCGTTATACAGGACATACATAATAGCTGAGTTTCTTATACAGTTAAACTTAAGTTTACTTACAGCCGAGTTTGAATTCGAAAAGTTAAGGCCAAGCCTCTCGATGCCTTGTACAATATAGTGCATCGCCTGGATGACATTTGCATAAACCATGGACTTTTTTTGAATTGCGTCTGCTTCCGTGTACCCATTATCGTGTATAATTCTGAAAAAATTTTATTTTAAAAATTTTTGAAATTTTTAATATTTATTTATTTTTAAGCCTAAAATTCATCTTAAAGCATAAACTTCATTTTTAAACACAATTTTTTTTTAAGTTGCAAAATTAAATTGAAATAACCAAAAAAAAATATGTAATGATTTCAAAATGGCATGAACTTACTTCATTTGTTTTAAAATTGTACTTTTTCCGCTTTCACCAGCACCTGAAATTAAATATTTACACTAATTGAGAACAGAAAACTTTGAACAGTATTGAAATAGCTTCTTTTGTCACGCTATGGATAGCTCATAAGTTTTTTATAAGCAAACGTTACTAAATGGTAAACTGGCTAAGACAGACGCAGGCTCAGGGTTAGGCTTAAACTAAGGCTTTAGCTCAGGCTAAAGCTCAGGCTCAGGCTGAAGCTCAGGCCCAGGCTCAGGCTCAAGCTTAACTTCATGCTCAGGCTCAGGCTCAAGCTCTAGCTCTAGCCTTAGCTCTTGCTCTAGCCTTAGCTCTAGCTCTATCTCTAGCTCTAGCTCTAGGTCTAGCTCTAGCTCTAGCTCTAGCTCTAGCTCTAGCTCTAGCTCTAGCTCTAGCTCTAGCTCTCGCTCTAGTTCTAGCTCTAGTTCTAATTCTGGTTCTGGTTCTAGCTTACGCTCAGACAGGGCCAGTTCCAAGCTCAGACTCAAAGCTTTGGCTCTGGCCGTGGTTCTGGCGTATGCTCGGTCTCAGTCGCAGGCTTCGTCTCAAGCCCAGGCTCAAGGTCAGCGAAAGCCTTCTGACTAAAAACTGAAAAAACCATACCCAACAACAACAACTTGACAGTCGAATCATTGAGCCGTCGATCCTTTTCGATCTGATCGTTGATCTCCTTGTTGCGTCGTGCATCAACATTTGAGCTTTCGCAGACGCCCATTAATGTGAGGATACGTTTCTTGGCCGTTTTATCCATTCATTAATAACAACAGTACTTTTGTGCCTTTTTGGATGAGGAAGGACCAAGTTGTCGGTAGAAAAAGCAGATTTTTTTCGATCTGTTTATATTATAGTAGGTTTTTAGATAAAAAAAATGACACAAATTATGGTCGAAAAATGATAAAATTACAGTTTTTGGTGTTAGAAAAGTAAACTTATTACTTTAAAAAGGCGTAGTAGATGTAAATTTAGCGTTTACTACTGTTACAATTGTAGAATGGCAATATTCAAGCAAATAAGTGTTCTAAAATAAGTAATTTTATAGTTAAAGGTTGGTCGCGAGCAATTAAAAAATTTGTCACGAAATTTGCATTCAATAAACAGAGCAGCAAAAACAACAAAATTTTACATTGTAACGAGGAAAAACAACAGTATTTTACCTTTTATAGTTGAAAAAACACCAAATTTTCAGATTGTAAAAAAACGAAAAAAATTTTACTGAAAAAAATATTAACGTAACTTTGTATTGTATTATAGCAAAGCAATACAATTTTATATTATAATCGTGAAAATACAAAAAAAACAAGTCAAGAAGGAAAGCCTACATTTCATAACTCATTATTTCGAAATAGAAGATTTGAATCTACAACAATATAATTAAAGTATAACGTTGCATTATGAATTTTTGGAGTTCGCAGACAAACGTCATTTAAAATCTAAAAATTCTCACAAATAAAATCTTTAATTGATAAAAACTTCAACAATTAGAAATATTTAACAAACCGGGCTTATTTTTCATGCCCGGATCGATCTAAGTTTTGTGCAGGGTCGGTCCGATTTTGTCACGTTCGAACAGGCCGGGCCGGTCCTTTATTTCAAGCCAGGCTTGGCTTAAATTTGGAATAAGGCCGGCCCGTTCCTCATGGCCAGTGTCGGACGGAAACTTTTGGTCTGGGGGCGGGAGTCGAAAACGGGGGGGGGGGGGGGGTTCTAATTAAAATTACAAAATACAATTTAAAATAACAACAAAATGTTAACCAAGTAATAAATAAATCGCATGTTTTTAAAAAAAAACTGACAAAATACCCAAAAAAGCGTACGCCACCTGAGATTCCAAGGACGTCTCCGATCCAAGTACTAATCAAGCGCACCGTTGCTTAACTTGCCAGATCGGACGGGATGGCGTGCGTTCAACGGGCTATGGGCGTACACATTTAATTACTTCTTCTTTTCTATCTCTATTATCTGTTTTTTGCTTACGTACATACCACATACAGATAAACTGCTCGTTACAGTCAACACAAAGCTAATTTCAAAAAAATCACTGAAAGATATTAGCTCTGTTTATCCTTAAAACCCCCAAAAACAAAGTACATTTTTCTGAACAAGTCCGGTGATATGTTAATAACATAATCGCGTGTGGCATAAGCAACAAAAATGCCTTTTTTGTTTACAAATAGTTAAACAGTTTAAAAATCTGTGGCTTGTCAATTGTAGAAGAACAAGACGGAAGTGAGAACAGGCCAGTAGTAATATACATGCCATTTCATTTTAGCGTGTCAACAATCGTGAGAAAATTAAAAAATGGAATATATTCAAGTTTATGCTATGTATATGGAACATAAATAGTATGTAGTATTTCAACATTGATAAAAAAAAAATACAGTAGACGGTAGTTATTGTCACAAACTTCAACTTTTCTTGTTACATCTTACTATACTTCATCATACCTTACTATATTTCAGCATACCATACTATACCTTACCATACCTTACCATACCTTACCATACCTTACCATACCTTACCATATCTTACCATACCTTACCATACCTTACCATACCGTACCATACCTTACCATATCTTACCATATCTTACCATACCTTACTATAACTTACCATACCTTACTTTATCATAGTATACCAAGCCTTATCATACATTATGATGACAAACAAATGTCTAAAACAGTATCAACCACTGTAATAAACTACTTCATCCTATACACACAACAACTGTAACCTCAACCACTTAGACACGTACTGTGTGTAATCATCTACTCAAAGCTTTCACTACATTCACTCAACTACAACATTACCTCCCAAATGCCGCGAATAGCATGGCATGGTAACCCACGTATTACACACACGAGCGTAGACTCCTCAGTTGTACACATAGATGTGAGACAAAATAATTACGTTGTAATTACAATAATTGAAAGTAGTAGTTCTGTTACACAGACGTTATTATCGCTACGCACGGACTAACAAGCCACTACTATTGTTAACGATGGACTAACAAGCATCTCCGTAATCTGAATATTAGAGTAAGCAAGAGAAAGGTTAACAAGAGATACACGTAATGGTAAAACTTGTTACATAACGACTAATATTTGCAAAATAAAGGCATGCATAACGATTTATGTATGACCTTATGTAACATTTTATATATAAGTTTTTAAGCTAAGGTAACTACTTTAAAGTTAAGGTAAGAACTTTTAAAGCTAAGGAAAGTCTAATGTAAAACCAAGGCAGCAATAAAAAACACAGTAGAAAAAGCTTAGCTCGAAGTACAGCTAGAGCCGAGTAGGGCTACGTTTTCTTAGTGCCTAGGGTACATTTGCTAGTTTTAGACTAAGGTATGATAGGTTTGCTAACTCAGTATAAAACATACAAACCTATAGCCTACTGCCCTCAGATCTATAAACATTTTTCAAAAAAAAGTACAAATGTACCTTGTGATATGGCCTCAACCTACTATGTACGTAACCGTATATACTTGAAAAATAAGGAACTGACAAACCCATGTACATAAGGAGAACGAACTTGTCATTCCGTAATTATGTGAATAAGAAAACAGCTCGGGAGTACACACCTTGGAAATTGCTTATGCGAAAAACACCAAAAATGGTACAAAGAATAAGATACGTAAAGGCATTGGATAAGTTAGAAGTAGTCTACATGGTGATGAAGGGAGGAAGAGTAATAAAAAATACAAAAACGGGGTTTTGTCGGTTTCTACTAGGATAAAGCAAAGTGAAAAAAGCGGACATGGCATTTCCAGGTGGGCCCAAGGGCCAGGTCCAAACCAAGGCCCCAGTTGGTCCAGCCCCCCTCCCTACTTTTTCCTTCCTCTTTCCCTCCTCGCCTCCTCAACCCATCACCATCGGATTCCTATATTCCAATCTTTTGTACAACTCTAATTGCTGTTATTTATTTTAAAACCCAATGCCTGCCAAAATAAACCAAGTAATGCAACACTTAGACACGTCAATGCAGCGGTAAACACAAGTACATGCTATGTAATTTGGTCACTAAGGTATTTACGTTTACGTAACACTGCTTCAACTTAATTGGCACTTGCACCAAAGTTATGAAAAACTGTTTTAATTATGCTTAAATTACACTGTGCTTATATTGTAGTATGTGTACTAAAAATTGAAAATTAAAAAATTTGTACAAAATTGGTAACTTGTATCTTGGAAGTGCATCAACTAAAGCAATAAAAAATTCAACAAAAAAACTACCCTGCCCAATCCAACATTGAACATATATATAATGTATATGTTTATGAGTAACAAAATATTTTTCACGCTAATATAGTAAACATCCAGTTTATAATAAAAAGTATTTCATATATCATTCTAGCGCATTCATTGTCATTTCCGTTATAACAAATGCAGTATCAGTCTTTAAATGCAACAAGCTAAGCTTAAAATTTGTATATACTCATATTGGGTTTAGTTTTCCATAAAAACCCACTAAGCCCACTCAAGCTGGACTAAGGCCAAACAATTTTAAAAGACCGGACCAAATCATGCAGGTTTAAGAATCAGGCTTACGTGAATGGCCCAGAGGCTCAGCTTAAGTCTTGCAATCAAAGATTTAACTTTGAAAAGTGTAAAACAAATCTGATATAAAAAAAAAACATCAAAGCAAATCGGGCGGAATCGGGCCAGTACAGGTAAGTCCGAAAGCCAAAGCAACAACCAAAGCCCGGTCGTTGGCCAGGCTGAAAAATTGGCCCCGGTTTCTTCACAGCTTTGATCAGTAAATGAAAAAAGTTTTTTTAATCAACAGAAATTAAATTGTGTAGAAAATATTTTTCTTGGAAAGTAGACGAATCTCTTTCTTATCTTAAATTCTTACATGTTTCTACCCTCCCCCTACCTCCTTTCTCCCCTACCATATTCTTCTTTCGTTTTACCCACCCTCTTTGTCCTCCTTTACTTACTGAAACGCTCTGCTATCATTCTACTGTATTAAAGTTTCAATTTTTCGTTTTCAAAACTATTATTATACCTTCATACCATGCATGCCAAAAGAAAGTAAACATTATACCTCTATATCACGCTTGCCAAAAAAAGTAAAAAGATAATGAAAATGGCGCTTCCAACCCTCTAATTGTAACCCATCAAAAACATAACACCAATTTCAAACAACCCGTCTTCAGAGCACATCACAGCACGGCCAAGCGACATGCCAGTAAGGGAAGTGAATGACAAGTAAAAGAATACAAGTAAAACGACTTTGAAAGTAAAAGAAAAGCGTGAAGAGAAAACTCATTAAAAACCGACCAAAATTTAAATATTTTCCCGGAGGAAATTAAATAAAATTAAGTCATCACGGGCTGAAAAAACACAACAACAAAGGCGCTACCGGCCGGTAATTCAGCTGATTGGGGATAGGCCGACACGGAGTTACCTTGACAACCAATTATTACCCAACCCAAAACTTAAGCCGCCCGCGGAATCTACATTATATATAAACAGGGGTGAAGGAACAACACGGTAGTAATGGTTAGGTGAGTGAAGAGCTCGTGTACAGTACAAGGAACGAGCGAAAAGATTTCGAAACGTATTATATAATAACATGATATTTTGTCATTACAAAAACAAGGTACAAATTTTTCGTGATAATGAAGGATTTAAAGAGGTAGGGTTGGAAAAGGGTCTACTTATCTCTAAAGTAAGAGTTAACCAAGGTAAACGAAGTGTAGAGCAATTATAAATTGAAAACATGAGGTGATAAAACTTTGCACAATAAAGGTACAGCTAAGACAAAAATAGAATAAAGCTATGACAGACTAAGGTAAGGTTAGATTAGAGTTAGGATAGTTAGGAATGTAAATTAGAACTAGATTAAAGCTAAATTAAAGCTAAAGTAGATCAAAGCAACGATAGAGCTAGGGACTAAGCAGAAAGAAACAGTGTAAGGCTAGGGTAGGCTAAGATAATGGTAAGAGGTAGATACAAACTAAATAGATTCGAAAAGAATGTTACAGTAAACCGAAGACTAAAGAAAAACTAGGGTAGGCTACAACAAGGCCACATTAAGTCGGGTAAAGCTGTAGGCGGCTTAGAGTAAAGCTACGGTTGAGATACAGCAAAACTGGATAAAAAAACATTAAGATAGACTACGATAAAGCTAGGGATAAGAAAAGCTACAGTACGTCTAAATTAAAGATAAAGGGCAAAGGGTACCCCATCCGCAAAAAAACGTTTTTTCAAGTATAGAGCCAAAAGAAGATGAGAGTAAGAGTACAACTACAGTATCGTAGCAGTAGAGCATAATTTAAAAAAAAAAGTGTTTGAAACTTTCAATAAGATGTTGCTAAAAAAGATTCTTTCAATGTACTCAACCTTAAAATAATTTTTGTGATCTTTTGAAAGAAAAACTACTATTTCCGCCCACGCTTTACTAGTACCTACCATATAAGCAACACAATTCTTACTTAAAAATTCAGAAGCTTAACGAAAACTTAAATGAAAAACTAGGGCGCTTAATCCAAGTGACATTAAGAATGTAAGAAAAGTGTTAATGTTTGGAAAACACAGAAGAAAGTAATTCTTTCGGCCGAGAATAAGATATTTTTAATTAATTTGGGTATATTTTATATTAATTATTCTACTCCATCAAAATTGCACATAATTTAACTGTTTTTACTCTTCAAATTGCCCAAAGACTTTCAATAACAACGTAAGTATTTAACACATCTTTTGTCAATAATATCTTCAAATTACAACACATGTACAACAACATAACGTAGCAGTACTACATACTAATGATATTTTTAGAAGGTGACGAGGCTCAAATAATTATTTTATAAAAAACGTTATCTTACTCTGTTGTTCATAACATTCGTATTATTTCACTTTCACCGTTATGGTGGACATTAATGATGTGTACTTCACCATTTCTTGTACGTTACTATCCCAAAATTCGTTCATATTTTCATAATTTTCTGGCAATAAGATATCAGAGTCTCTCAACATTAACAACTTACTGTACAGAATTTGGAAAGAGGTCTCTTCTCTTCTAGTATCTTTAGAAATATCAGTAACTGACGTCAACTTGACCACCAATAATATTAATGTCCACCATAACGGTGAAAGTGAAATAATACAAATGTTATGAACAATTATTGTTGGAATTTTCTTTTTTTATGAATTATTTAGGTTTAAATTTTGTTATATTCTTTTTTCTTATGTTTAAAATGTTACTTATCTTTAGTTTTAAGACTGTAGTTATTAACTTTAAAATAGAAAAAAAAAACATTTTAAGGCGTTTTAGCCTTTGGAAGCCGACGGGAACCGAACCCTTGAGCTTCCGAGTCCAAGTCGGGCTCACTCGCTCGCTGCCATTGAAGAGCTTATGCTCTGCGCTCAAAAAGCGAACATGAGACAAAAGTATTTAAAAAACCAAACTTTGACCTGCCATATCTCAAAAACTAGAGATTGTTGGCAAAAAATTTTTACACCATAAGTCTTAAATTTTTTTGCTCTATGTTCGTATATATACCACTAGTTATAACTCGATTTTCATTATTTGCGGTTTCCTAGTTAAGCAAGAGTACGGCAGGCTACTTTAAGACGTTTTTTGAGCAAAGTAAAGTGTATTTTTTAGAACGGGGGAGGGGAGGGGAAGGAACGAAGGAAAAGACAAGGGTGAATATAGTTAACTTAAGGTAAAGCTGTAGTAAACTAAATAATGCTTAGAGAAAGGAATATAAGGTAAGATTAGGGTAAAGCCTGCGTAGTAAAACCTTATTTTAGCTTGGAGCAAGTAGTATCCTGTAAAATAGACATAATCATAGAATAAATCTAGGGCAAGCACCTAAACAACGTTGTTTTTTTGAAAGTCCCCAAATCCTAACATTTTTGGTTTCAACTCCGGCTTTGACTTTTTATAAATTTTAAATTTGGCATAGGCTCTAGCCCAAAATCCGAAGTTGCTTCGGGGGTATTTATGACTAAAATTTGACATTCTATAATTCCAACACCAACTTTGGCACCGGTGCCAAATCCGTAGCTGCCCCAAAACCGGAATGCGGAGCTTTTGAAATCTCTGTTCATAACCATACAAAACCATTAGCAAAACAACCCACAACTAACTAGGGACAATACTCTGGTTAATTGCAGATTGTCACTACACACTTCCTCAATTAAGTCATCGGATAACAATAGGAATAACATCTATTTGTACCCATTTTAGGTTGTTTACGCCTCACAAACGTAAGGGCAGTTTATTTTAAAACTAAAGCTTATATGAAAATGGCAAAATATAAAATTAGGCTCTAGGAAGTGTAATTGGAATAGACGTAGGATTGTTGACTTAACAAGCTATTTGGGCTGCACTTCCTTGTAGTAAACATATACATATAAAAATATATGTTTTGTCATTTTTTTTCTTTATTGTGTAAATAGAAAAAATCCAGTTTAAATTCAAATACAGAAGAGTCTGGCATGTAAAATTCGGTTTTTTGGCCCATGGCCTTTTTAAAAACCTTACCTATGGTAAGCGTCTTAATTTCCATATAAGCAATTTCAGCTATCATATCTCTTTCCCTTTTCTTTGTTAGGCTTAAAACTGATAGTTTTTAAAAACTTTCTAAAGCCATTCTAAAGAATAAACAAAAAAGTTGCATTCCTCACCCCCCCCCCTTCTCTCAACTCTCCGCCATCTTCACAGACACCCCATTTTTACCTTTTTTATGGTAGTTTACAAGCTCATAACGCCAGGCTTGTTTACATTAAAATAGTATGAAAAATAAACAAATTGGGCCATAAACAAAGTGAATATAAAGCCGAGTTTATTAATTAGAAACCCAGCCATACGAGAGCATTATGAGAGTGTTGTTCGGTGCACTTTTGTTATTCGCCATTAATGGTACGGTAAACTGTGTTCGACTACAGTCAGTTGGCTGTAAAGGTCAACTGATGTGTGGTGATAAGCCGGCGGCCGGCGTTAAGGTGGCCTTGTGGGACGAGGACGATGGTAGGTTGTCTATAGTTGGCAAGAACTTTCTTTACAAAGCCTATAATAGAAACAAATTTTGTTACAGTAATTAAAATTGCAAGAACTTTCTTTACAAAGATAAAACTCAACATGTAAAATCAGATGTTAATCAAAAATTGTACACTTTTCAGGACCCGACCCAGATGACAAGCTAAAAGAAGGCCAAACCGATTCAGAAGGCAAGTTCGAGTTGGTGGGAAACACTCACGAACTCACCAACATTGACCCAATTTGCAAAGTCTACCATGACTGTGATGATGGAATCAAGCCTGGCCAACGCAAACTCAAGTTCAAGATCCCATCCCAGTATATTTTTGGAGAATCCACCCCCAAAAAAATCTTCAACCTCGGCGTTTTGAATCTTGAAACTATTTTCCCAAGCGAGGAACGGAATTTATTGTAAACTTTAAATTTTTAAATTAAAAAAAGACAATAAACTGGTACTGCCTGCTTTTTTTTACTGTAAAGAAAGTTCTTGTTATTATTTGATCAAATTTTTTTGGGGCATTTTGGAAAGAAATAAGTCATGAAGTCAAAGCGGAGAAAGAAGAGAGCGCAGAGAAAGAAAGAAGATCAATTTGTCTTTTCTTTTTGAGCGGAAACCCAATCAAAACACATTTGACTGTTTTAAGACTCCGATTCCGCTCGATAAAGCGTCAGGTATAAAACCTAAACTTAAGGTTAGTACAAAAATCAGCTCGGTAAACCTGTGGCTGAGAATTGAAATTTTGGAATGTTTGGCCTTGGGCTGAACTGATAAGTTACTTGATTTGATTACATAAAACTTCTGTTGTTCAATTTTAAACCTCTATTTATAAACTGCCAATTGTTGCCTACTACTGGCAATCCTTATTTACCCATGACAAAAACGTTTTTAGTGCATTTTTAATCGACTGGTTCCATTAAAGATTAAACTCTAGTATAACATAAACAAATGCTGTTATCTAAAATTCCAATAAACATTATTGCAAAATCAGTTTCCAAATTTTTGTTTATGTGTTGTGCTCAGTGTCTATCTATATTGACCAAGGTCTATCTATTGTGCTCAGTCTCTCTCTATCTTGCTCACTGTCTATCACAACTTGCTTGATATCAATCGCTTGTGCTTGATGTCAGTTGCATTTGTGTTTGATATTAATCGCGATTAATATCAAACACAAATGCTATCGACCTTGGGACGTTCTTCATTACACAAACAATGGCTTTTTTGGGTCGGCTTTTGCCTTATTTCTTCAAAAAACCGAATTTTTGCGTAAACAACAACAATTTTTGGCTATTTCTCGTTAGCTTTTCCCAGTTTTACTTGAATTTATAGGTCTTTAGAATTGCTTTGATGTCGTTATTTAATTTTTAGGGCAGACTTAATAGTTTTCTGGTTTCATTTTTTAATTTTAAAACGGTTAGAAGTAGTTCTAGGCTTGTTTATTTAAAAAAAACTGAAGTTTGCGTAAGCAACAACAATTTTTGGATGTTTATCCTTGGCTTTTCGAAGTTTTATCTAAATTTATACGTTTTTAGGCTTATCTTTTTGTTGCTGATGATTTTTCTGACTTTGTAGAAGGTTTTGTGCTTTAGTTTTGAAGCTTAAGCAGTTGAATTTAGTTTTTGTCTTTATCTCGTTAGGTTTTTGTAGTATTACCTAAATTAATTTAGTTTCTATGTTATTCTTGCTGTTTTTAATCGCTTGTTAAGCATGATTTAAGGTTTTTAAGTCTATTTTTGAAATTTACATTACCTAAAGTCTTCTTGTTTCCAGCTACTATTATGTATAACTTTTCTTTTCGGCATTTTTTAGGTAACAATATCATGTTTATACATTATTTTCTATTCACAACATTCTTATCCGTGTTTTAAAGTAATTTTGTTATATTAAACTTGATTCTAAGTTAACTTTTTATCAGTTTGACATTTTTAGGTAACAATGTCATCAACAATTACTTTTCCGATGCACAATGGCGTCAAATTGCCGGCTCTTGGCTATGGAACTTGGCTTGTGAGTTTTTTTTATTTTTACTGTTCGAAGGTTATGAATTTTAGGTATAACTTTGATCAATATGAAGTTGAAATGGATATTACTTTATATAAAGCTGTCATCTTTGAAGTTTTAGCCATTTTTAAAATGTTATTCTTTAAAATTTTAGTCCACCGATCACGAACAGCTGAAGAAGTGCCTTCGTCACGCTTTGGATGTTGGCTATCGCTACATTGATACAGCTTATGCTTATGGCAATGAATCAGTGATTGGAGACGTGATCAAGGAGTATATTGATACTGGCAAACTGAAGAGAGAGGACTTGTTCGTGACTACCAAGCTTCCTCAATTTGCTACGAATCCAGAGAGATCTGAAGTTGTTATCAAGGCTTCGTTGGAGGCTTTGAAGTTGGATTATGTTGATCTTTACCTAATTCATACACCATTGTCTTTCAAGGTAAAGTTTTGTGGTTTTATGGGTAGTTTTTGGAGGTTTTTAGGATGTTGTATCGGCATTATATTAAGCTTAACACACTTTATTTTAGGCCAACAAAGAGGTGAACGGCTACGAAAAGGATGCGGATGGCAAATTCATTCCAGATCTTATTGACTTTAACCAAACCTGGAAGATCCTCGAGAAATACTACAAACAAGGCACCTTCAAAGCCATCGGAATCTCCAACTTCAACATCCAACAGATCCAGGATATATACGATCACTCTGAAATCAAACCAATGAATCTTCAGGTCGAACTTCATCTTCTCTTCCCCCAGATCGAGTTGGTCGATTACTGTAAAAAGATGAACATTACCGTAACCTCCTATGCTTCACTTGGCAGTCCAGGGCGCAATGCTGGGTTGAGCAAGTTCAAGGTGGAGGGTGATTGTCTGAACCATCCACTAACTCAAGAGCTGGCCAAGAAGTACAACAAGACGCCTGCTCAAGTCCTGCTACGTTACGTGATTCAGCGTGGAGCGTCGGTGATTCCAAAGAGTTTGAATGAGAAGAGAATCGAGGAGAACTTTAATGTTTTTGACTTTGAAATTTCGGATGAAGATCAAGCAAAGTTGAAGGGATTGGGCGAGAACAAAAGACTGTTGGTTTTCGATTTGTAAGTTGATTTATATTGATTTTGAGGGTATATACTTGACGTTTTGATACGTTTTTGAAGAGTAATGGGTATTTAAAATAGTTTTAATTAAATTTTTGAATTATAAGCCTAAGAAGTGTTTGTAAGCCTGAAATTCAACTTGTACTTAAAACACATTTTTTATTTAAAAACAACTTCAATTTTTGAAAAAAATGGCAAGACTCCCTGAAGTGTCTAAAACAATATAATAGGCTTACAATTGCCCCTCAAGCTGGAACTTGTTTCTTTAATCTTGATAATTTATTACACAAGGCCAGACGACCACACATACGGCAAATACGATTCGAAGAATGAACTGATTTTTCTAAAAGTGCATTTTTATGTAAATAACAAAGGGAAATGGAACAGACATTTTGTGAAGCTAAAAATAACAAAAGTTAAAAGTTCATGGCTTAAATTAGGGCTTTAGGGTTGAATTTCAATTTTTGAAGTTTATAAGTTTGGTAGGGTACGGTAATGTTGAGTAGGGTACGGTAGTGTAGAGTAGAGTAGGGTAAGGTTGAGTAAGGCAGTAGTAGCCAGGATAGGGTAAAGTATGGTAGAGTAGAGTACAGTCAGATAGGGTAGGGTACGATATTCCAAGGTAGGGTTGAGCAAGTTAGTAGTAGTCAGTTTAGGGTAAAGTACGGTAACTTAAGGTAAGGTGTATTACTGTAGGCTAGAGTAAAGTAAGATATGAGAGAGCAGGGCAGGGTAAAGTAGAGTAAAACAGGGCGAAGACATGGCTTTAATAACGAAAAATATGACGTTTTTAGGCTTCAAATCCTCATTTTTGAGGTTTAAAAACGAAAAAATACTAATAAAATATGATTTTAAACCTAAATCAAACACAAAAGCAAAAAATTCAAATTTTTAAAAAATTTTCATGTTTCAGCGGATTTGACCATCCAAACTACCCATGGAAAGACGAGTTGAAAAACTACAAAAAGTAGTTGTTTAAACATATCTAAACTGTGATGTTATTTTTTCACTTTTTGTTGATATTTTGTATCAATAAACTAATTATAAAATTTTTGAAAAATTGATTCTTAAATTTTATTTGGAAGTTAAAAATTCATTTTTAAGCAAATAAAAATATATAAAATACAGTAAACCTGGGTTGAAAAAAGACAAGCTACGGGTGATTTTTATATGACATGTTATTATAGTAAGCATGAGTCAAAAAAAGCGAAATAAGCTAAATATATATACAGTAAAATACAGTATATAAAAGCTTATGAAAAGAACAGTACGGTAAAGTAAAATGTAAAAAAATATAAAATACAGTAGTGTGAAGAGATAGGTCGATTATAAGACCCAATCAGTCCGGAGTGTTCTCTTTCAACGCTAAAGCAAGGTACTAACTAACAACACAACATGTACCTTGCCTTAACAGCCCTTTAACCTCTACAACAACTTTACACCGTTCAAACCGGATCTTACAATGAATAACATAGCGCAATATAATGCTTATTATTATTGTTATCTTAATGTTTTTCTTGCACTTTTTACTGCTACTGATACGTACCCTTTTTGAAAAAACGATTGCTGATTACATCTGGAGACTCATCAGGATGAAAACATATAAAACAGGGAATGTTTAATGTTCAGATGCAGTTCTGATAAAAATTGTCCGACCTTTGATTGCCCCATTATTCACATAGGGACAACGTTTCATTTTTAATGTCATTTGGGGTAAACACCTTGGCGAGGGGGGGGGGGATGGCTATTGCGGTCGGGCTCTCAGAGGTACGAATTTGATAATAGTTCAGGACGATGAGGGGGGGGTATTAAAACATAGCAAGGAATAGTAGTTTTTATGGTACATAATTTCATGGCTCAGATAGGGCATGGTACGTAGGGGAGGATAGGGTATAGTAGAGTAGGTTAGGTTAGGGCACGGTAAAGTAGGGGAGAGTATGGAAGGGCTGAACAGAGTAGGGCAGAGTAGGTCAGGGCAAAGTAAAGTACCGCATAGGATGATAGCTTATAGGACTTATGTTATACACATTGTTTTTATGTTTTTATTATGGGTTATGTTAAGATTTTTAGCTAAAAATGGTCGATGTTGGTCATGTTACTATGCACAATGGTGTCAAGTTGCCTTTGCTGGGTTACGGAACGTGGTTGGTATGTTTTAAAGGTTTAAACCTAAAAAGTTATGGCACAAAATGCATCCTAAAAGACATGGTGTTAGGTTTTACTGTGTTCAATAGCTAAAATTAAAGTTTTAAACTTGAAGTTAAAATAAATTTTTAACTTAAAAATTTTAAAAACTTTAAATTTTAAGGCCAGTGACCATGAACAGCTAAAAACTGCCTTAAGACACGCGTTGGACGCTGGTTACCGTTATATTGATACCGCTTTCGTCTATGGCAACGAAGCTCCAATTGGTGATGTGATCAAAGAGTATATTGATGCTGGCAAACTGAAGAGGTCAGACTTGTTTATCACTACTAAACTCCCAGCACAAGCTTTGAATCCTGAAAACGCTGAAGTTGCATTGAAGAGATCCTTGGAAAGTCTGAAGACTGATTACGTTGATTTGTATCTTATTCACACTCCTACGGCTTTTAAGGTGGGTAATTTTACTTTGCCCTACTTTACCCTACCCTATCCTACCCTACCTTAACCTACTCTACCCTGCCGTAATTTACCCTATCCTACCTTAACCTACTTTACCTTAGTTTACTTTACCGTGTTTTACCTTACCATACTAAAAATGATGTTTCAGCCTGAGAACAACTTAAATGGCATGCTAAAGGATTCAGAAGGCAAATTTGTAGTAGAAGATGTTGACCTGAACCAAACTTGGAAAGTTCTCGAGAAGTACTATAAGCAAGGCACTTTAAAATCCATTGGAATCTCCAACTTCAACCACAAACAGATTCAAGAACTGTACGATAACGCCGAGATTAAACCAATGAATCTCCAAATCGAACTTCATATCCTACTACCCCAAATCAAACTGGTCGATTTCTGCAAAGAAAAGAACATTACAGTAACTTCCTATTCAACCTTGGGTAGTCCAGGTCGTGGAGCAGCTGGAATTAGCAAGGTATGGGTCGAGGGTGACTGTCTCAACCATCCCTTGACTCAAGAATTGTCCAAGAAGTACAACAAGACTCCAGGTCAGATTCTGTTGAAGACCGTGGTGCAACGTGGCATTTCTGTGATTCCGAAGAGTGTGAATGAGGAAAGAATCAAGCAGAACATTGACATATTCGACTTTGAAATCTCGGAGGAAGATCAGAAGAGACTACTTGGTTTGGGAGAGAAGACCAGACTTTTGGTGTTCGACTTGTAAGTTGAGGGTTGTTTTGTCATTTTTGAAACAGTTTTTAACAACTTAGTTTAAAAAATTTGAAGTTTTAAGTACGGTAAGATATGGTCGAATAAAAAACGCTAAAGGTTAAGGCAGCATAAGGTAGGATATTGAAACGTAAAGAATAGTGTGCGCTAGGGCAAGATAGAGTTTCAGAACATGAATCTCTTTATTATAATATTGTAATAATACCGGTTACCAGGGCCGGGCGGGGACTTTTGGTCTGGGGGCAGGGGTCCAAAAAATCGGCACAGGTAAGTTACCTGTGCCGATTTTTTGCAAAATTTTTTTTCCGAAAATCCACAGGGGGACCACGTTCAACTTTTTTCAAAAAAAATTTTTTTAGGGGGTGGTACCCCCCCCCCTCGTCCCCCCCCCCTCCTCGCGTTCGGCCCTGCCGGTTACTATTGTAAATTCTTTTAACGCCAATAAATTTTTACAATAACTATGGCGAAAGCAAGATAACGATTGTAGGAAAGGGAGGATTGTGCCACGCAGAATCGAGCTTGGGCACGATATAAAGATGAGAGTTTACATTATGAATAACCTGAGCACAGCATGTACTTAAAGGTGGAGTTAGGACAAGTTCCGACATTAGCTAGGTCGAAAATGAAAGGTAGGGTAAGGTAAAGTAGGGTGATGTAGGGTAGGGTAGGGTAGTTAAAATAAATTAAAATTGGATTTTTTAGTGCATACCACCACCCAAAGTATCCCTTCAGTGAAGAATTCTAACTTTGATTAAACCATATTGTGGTATAGTACTTCTACTACTGTAATTTTATTGTAACTTCTTTGTAAATTTACTTTTTAAATAAACTTGAACAAGTTGTTGCTATTGTACTTTAAACTCTGTAAACAACGTTCTTGCTGTTTTTCGTTGTGTAAAGAAAGTTTTTGCTATTTTTTATTCTGTAAAGAAAGTTCTTGTTAACTAAACTCCCACTAACCTCTGACGTATGCACCTCACATTTTTCTAACAAGTTTATTACCTAAAACCTCACTTTCATCCACCTTAATCTCACTTTAAATCCCACTAATTACTCAGCAATAAATCGCACTCAAAAACAATGATAAAAACGTTCGAAAAGGCGGAACGTTATACCTAAAATGGCGGAAATCGGGCGACGTGAAAACACCTTGAGCGATCAACTGGTTTAGTTATTTTGCGTCGTATACGAAGACGGTGGACGCGAATATGCGGTTGAACATAATTTTGCTACTGAATATTTTTGTTGTAGTGTTAGTTTTGATCGAAAGGAGGTAGGTTTGAGAAAGATGTGGTTAATATAAAAAATTGTTCTGTAATGTTACAGTAGCTTTTTATAGTAGAATAAGACAAAGTAAAAAACGTACAAAAAATTAATTTTTAAAAAATTAAAATTTACAGTAATTCTGCGGTACTCGTGCTTTTTATAACTATTTTGTCACATAAAATTACTTCATTTTTCATTTGAAACGATTTTACTCTACCGTAACTGAGCCTCACTCTGCCCTCGCCTTATCATGTTTGCTTATTTTGCTTTTTCCTTACCCTGGCTTTAGAATGGTCTTACCCTAGTCATGTTTTGGTTTTGCTCTAGTCTTCTTTTGACCTTATCTTTACTATAGTCTTAGCTTTACCCTAGCCTTGTTTTAGCTTTGCTTAGCTATTCTCAGCTTGCTTTTACTCTAGTGCTGGCTCTACCCTAGCTATGCCCTCTTATCCTTACTATAGTCTAATCTTTGTCCTAGATTTGTTTTAGCGTTGCCTAGCTTTTCCCTACTTACCTTATTTGTTACTAGAAATTCTTACTCTGACCTTACTTTAAATTTACTCTAGCTTTAATTTAGGTTTTCTTAACTTCCTTAACTTAATTTTTATCTTATTTAAACACTAACTTTAACCTGGTACTTTACAACAGCCCTGCCTTAGTATAGTAAAATAACCCTACCCCAGCTCTACCTTAGCCAAATAAAATAACCCTACAACATAATCTACCCCAACCGAATAAAAAAACTTAAATTTTTAGTTCATCAGCACCACTAGAGACCCTAGTAATCCCAGGTGGTAAAACCACCACCGAGCTACGACGCTATAATGACAGTCCACTCTTTGTTGACGCTCCAGTAGCCAATATTCGAATCCTGAACCGTGGACGTCGCACCCCATCAAAAGAATTGCCGCATTCTGGAGAAGTTACATTTAGAAGACGAGCTAGAATCCTGCACGATGATAGTGCTAGAACAAACCGACTGAGAGACGCTGAAGAAGTTGAGCCTATGTTGATTAGAAAGTTGGCTACAATTGATGAAGAAGTGTCAGATCCGTTTGAAATTAAGACTGTTTCTTTGAAACGGCCGGCTTATCGACAGAGAATTATAAAGTGAAGATACCTTAATATACGTTGTAAATATAAGATCTAAGGGCACTGCAATATACAAATGTAATAAAATTTCGATAACATTAGAAGTGTAATTAAAAATTTTAAATTGTAAAGAAAATACTTGTCTTTTTTCTACTGTAAAGAAAGTTTTTGTCATTTTTTCCCATAAATTTCTTTTTCCTTTTCTTGAACAGAAAATAGGCCAAAAGAGACAAATAAAGAGAGAGAAGAAAAGAACGCATAGAAACAGTGTTTTGCCGGACCGGTCCGAATGAGAATTTTTTCGGTCCGGTCCGGTCCGGCTCTATTTTTTTTCGCTCAGGTCCGGTCCGGTCCGTACCAAAAGGTCAGGTCCGGAAAATTTTTTTTTTATTTTTAAAAAGAGCCAGGAGCGCTAAAACTGCTTTCTTTACGTTTAAAAACTCTTAAAAATATGTTTTATTTGCAATTTTTAAAACAGTTTTATTAAAATAAAAAAAAATTTTTTTCCGGACCGGTCCGGACCGCACGGGTCCGGCAAAACACTGCATAGAAACAAATAAAATCAGTTTTCTTTCTTTTGGAGCGCAACCCAATCAAAAAGCAAGTGTTGGTTTTATTACCTCCTTTCATTTGATAGTGTTCCTCGCTATTCGTAGCCTAATTTAGGTTAGCACAATAACCAGCTCGGTAAATCTGTGGCTGGAAATTAAAATTTTGGAATGTTTGGCCCTGGGCTGAACTTATATTTTAATTTTTGATTAATTTTCTCGACCTAATTTATTATATTAGTAAAATAGACTTTCTTGTTCTTCATTCCTCTCATTTCTGCTTTTTTATTTTTTTTTTTGAACTGTAAAGAAAGTTATTGCCGTTTTTTAAAATCAATTTATTTTTTTCGTCTTCAGGAAAGAAGATAGGAAAAAGGGAGAGCGGGAAAAGAAGAGAGCGCTGAGAAACAAAGAAAATCAGTTGGTCTTTTCTTCTTTTTAAAAAGAAACCCAATCAAAACACAAGTGATTGTTTTATTAAATCTTATTCCTTTGTCTTTTTGAGCAAGCTATAAAAGCTAAAAAAGGTTAGCACAATAACCAGCTCGGTAAATCTGTGGCTGAGAATTGAAATTTTGGAATGTTTGGCTTTGAGCTGGACTAATATTTTATATATCTATTGTAATATAGATGGTATGTAAAATTAATACTTTGTATAAGCTATAGAGTAAAATAGCTCTCTGACTCAAACTTCCTGGCTGTTAAGCAGAAAAATACAAAAATTTATCTTATACTCCTCGAAACTCAAAAGTAAAAACTTTGTTGAAGTTATCCGTATACATATATAACAACAAATATTGTAGTTTATTTATTAGTGCTTTTAACTATATTATCAATTTTTATCAATTTTTTTTATTTTTAAACTTTTTGATACATTTGACCTTATCTGCCTGAGTAAACAAAAACATTTGACTTTTTTTAAAAACTTTTGTTTAAAGCTAAATCAAACGTTAATACAGTGTGACAGATGGGCTAATAAAGCATACGTACAAGACAAACAAAGCAGTATAATATAAAACAGTAATGGGATGATAATCAATCATATCACGGCTTGACGATGAAGTTCCTATTTGCTTTGGGGTTGGTGGTCGTTACGGTCTATGTGCACGGCGACCAGGTTGGTACTACCACTGGTTATTGGTACGTTTAGAGGTTTTTTGCTGAAATTTGAAAAGTTTGTTTATATGTAAAATACGTATTTTTACGTTATGACGGTCTTTCATACCAATTAGTACTTAACATTCGTATTTCAGGGACTGCTGCAAACCTTCCTGTGCATGGCCAGGCAAGGCCAATGTCTCTCGTCCATCTTTGGCTTGTGACATCAACGATCAACCAATCAACGACAGCAACGCTTACTCTGGCTGTGGAGACGACGGTGTAGCTTATATGTGTTCTCACGAACAACCATGGGCCATCGATGACAACCTATCGTATGGGTTTGCGGCCGTAAACATTGGCGGTCAAACCGAAGCTGACTGGTGTTGTGCTTGCTACGAGCTGACCTTCACTGACGATCCAATTAAGGGCAAAAAGTTTGTGGTACAAGCTACGAACACTGGTGGAGATTTGCAAGACAATCACTTTGATATGGCTATTCCTGGCTGTGGAGTGGGCTACTTGAATGGATGTACCGCCGAATACAATGCCCCAGCCGATGGATGGGGAGCTCGTTATGGTGGTATCTCTCAAGAGGAAGAGTGTAGTGAGCTGCCAGAGCTTCTTCAACCCGGATGTGAGTGGAGATGGAGTTGGTACTTGGGAGCTCAGATCCCAAATGTCACTTTCACTCGAGTCAAGTGTCCCACTGAGATCACTGATAAGAGTCAATGTATTCGTGACGATGAGAACACTTTTTCTGGTTAAACAAAGCTTTGTTTGAGTTTGTTACAGTATGATTGTGAAGCGTTGTAGATCATACTGAGTTTTATGATACTATAGTCTACACTTTTATTCTTACAATTAGTACTAAGTAGTAATTGTAGAACACTATTTTTAATTTATTAAATAAAAATGCAAGTTTAAAGTTGGAAAATAATGAAAGGCTAACATTAAGGCTACAAACAAAATTTTTTAAAATAATAAAATAAATTTTAAATTTTAAAGTTTGATCTCTGTTCTCTACGGTTTTAATTGCTGAGCATAAACTTAAATTTGTTGCAATTTTGAGCATTGATGATCAATGACACTTGAACGGTCATAAAGTCTGCAGTTTGAACTTTTATTTGTCTTGGAAGTCGTCTAGATCTAGACACTATAAAAGCTAACGTAGGCGAGTAAAAGCGCAAAGCCAGTTGAAATTTGTTGCATTTTTTCATAAACGATTGTTTTAGTTCTAGCTAGCGTAAGGCTAGGGCAGGGCTAGGATACCCTGTGGCTATTTTTGAGTAAAAGTTAGGCCGGAGTGGAGGCAGGACAAGACGGGTGGTTGAGTAAAGCCTTTAGGCTGAAGCAAGGCTAGCGCAGGCTATGACAGGGGTAGCAGAATAGTATTGTAAACTAGAGCAAGTTAGAATATTTTAAGACATAGTACGACTAAAAGGTGGAGTATATAAGCAAGTAGAGCAAGAAACTTTAGTTTAATAAAGTATTTTATGGTTTGTTGCTAGAGCTAAATTATAATTTGTGAGACTTAAATAAGCTTACCCAATTATAGCCCATAAACAAAATATTAAATTTTTAAAAATAATTTAGTTAACCAAAAAAATTTTTAAATTAAGTTTTTTACAATGTTAAAAGCCTAGTTTGCAACCTTACAACCTGCAAGATTGATGTCAGGTTGCAAAGATGACATTCTCCACAAAACAGAATAAATTTTCGGCAGTCTTTGTTTTGGTATTTGGCGCTAATGATCAAAAGGGGCGACCTTTTTTCGAACGTTCGAACAACAAAATCACAAATTAAAGCGATGCCTTTCTTAAAAAACCATTATTTTTGAATTTTAGTGGTAACTTTTTTTCATTTTTTGTTTTTAAAGTAGCTTTTTAAAAGAGAACGTATTTTACAAATGATAGGTTTTACATTTTTTAAATTTTTGTAATATAATATCATCTTAATATTATGTAAAAAAGTCTTGCCGTTTTTTGATTTTAGGGTATATGCAAAATGACGACAAGACTTTTTTTGATTTTATTAATTTTTTAAACCCTAATTTTGAGCTAATTGTGAATGACATTTCAAAATACAACCTTACATTTCCGAACATCTCATCGATCAAAGTATTTCGAGATTTTTCAAATTCTTGCCATTTTTTGTTTGTTTTGTTTTTTATTTCGAAAAAGTCATTTCTACGTCAAAGAAATGTCAAAAAATCACTTTTGCAGGTTACTAATGTCAACTTCTTCAACTTAAACGTCATCTCACACATCATGCAGGTATTTTTGTGCTTGAGGACACGTTTTTCAGAAAAGTTATGTCATTATTTATAAAAAATTTTGTAATTTTGTCTTTTTAAAGGGGAAAAACACTGTACTTATATTAAAGGGTGTACTAAAAGAAGGCAGGGCATTAACAGGGCATTGGCAGGGCATTGGCAGGGCATTGGCAGGGCATTGGCAGGGCATTGTCAGGGCATTGTCAGGGCATTGTCAGAACATTGGTAGGGGATTGGCAGGGCATTGGCAGGGCCGGGCAAAGCAAGGCAGGGCAAGGCAAGGCAGGGCAGAGCAGGACAGGGCAGGGCAGGGCAGGGCAGGGCAGGGCAGGGCAGGGCAGGGCAAAGCAGGGCAGGGCAGGGCAGGGCAGGGCAGGGCAGGGCAGGGCAGGGCAGGGCAGGGCAGGGCAGGGCAGGGCAGGGCAGGGCAGGGCAAAGCAGGGCAGGGCAGGGCAGGGCAGGGCAGGATATAATTCAATAAACAAAAAAAAATTTCATTTTGAAATTTAGAAAATTTTCAAAATGCAATACCAAAAAAAATTAAATTCCAATCGTTTTTTCGCAGAAAACCAATTTGTCACCACATTTGTTCATAATTTGAAAAAGCGAAAAAGTGCCAAAAAGTTATAAAAAGCTGACTAATTGTCTGCTCGTTAGGCCCAACGCTTTGGTGGTCTTCAATTTTAAGTGGGTGTTAATGGGTGATCAAGATTTATTTTTGACCGTATTTAAGCATTCTGGTGATGGCAGGGGAATTGAGTCGATATAGAGGACCTTTGGGATGTATAGAAAAAGAGTAAAGCAGAGAACTAGGCTTATAGTTTTTAAACTTAGGAGCTTTAGGCTTAGAGTTGTTCGGCTTAAGAGTTTTAGGCTTAACGACCGTAGGCTTTGGGGTTCTAGACTTCGGACTTTTAGGCTTAAGGGTTTTGGCTTAAGAGCTTTTAGCGTTAGGGCTTTAGGCTTAGCGGCTTTAGGATTAAAAGCTGCAGGTTTAGAGGCTTTAAGCTTAGAAGCTTGAGGCTTTAAACTTACGAGTTTTAGGCTTATTGTTAGGAAATTTAGTTTTAAGGACTATAGACTTATGTAAGAGTTTAGGTTTAAGAGCTTGTTAGGGATTTTAGGCGTAATAACTTTAATTTTAAAAGTTTTAGGCTAAGGGAGCTTAAACTAAAAGGTTTTTAGGCTTAGAGTTTATATACTCAATAGCTTTAGATTAAAAATTTTCAAGCTTGAAGGTGTTTGCTAATTTATTAGCATTAGGCTGAGAATAACGCATTTTAAGTTTTAAAACTTTAGGCTTAGAAAGTTTTAAGCATTGAAGCTTTAGTTTTAAAAGATTTAGGCGTAATTTCTTTAGAATCAAAAACTGGCAATAAATATTAGCTTCGAAGGCAAATTTATATAATAAACGCTTGACATCATTAAATTTCACCTTTTTTCTAATCATTTTCAAACCTTTTGCAAAGTCAAATTAACGCTTAAAATTTATTGTCTCGGACGATCAAGCGAAACTCTAAAAATAAATGATTTTGCCATTACAAACACCTTAAAATGTGCGTCAGAAATCATAGGTTCGGCTCAAATCAAGCCTTCCTCGATTAATTAGAGCTATTTTCGATACCGGAAACAAAGAACGTCAGTTTCCGGGGTTTATCAATATTGAGTGGGAAGGCCGGGTTTAATTGTATTAAGTTTTTCTAAATTACGTTGGCTTAAGTTAATTGGTAGTATTAAGTTATACATAGTTTTAATTAGGATTGATAAGGTTTTCTTAGCGGATTAGCTGAAAGTTTTTAATTACAGGGAGATATATTGATAACTACTGTAGTTACGTAGCAAGGAGACAAAGGCTAAAGCTAAACCTAAGGCACTTTTTTTTAAATACTGAAATTTTTAAAAAAATTTGTTACAGTAAGACTAATTTATTTATTGGCAGTTTTTCTATGTCTGCCAAATCACGTTTTATACGACTACAATCATATATTTACCATATTTATTGGAATTTGCTGACAAAGTTTAATCTTCGTTCTTCTTTTTCTCTGTCGTCTCGAATGTCATAGTAATCTCTGATTCAAACCTCGTGGTTACCGTAACCTTTAAACCTTCACCTCTTTAATTCACTTGTAAACACCAAACTCTACGTGATTTGACGAGACCCTCAGGCACATTCGCGAAATATATCACAAACTCAAGAGACGTTCGATAATGAATGGCATTTGAGGAATTTGATTTTTTTCTTTTCCAAATGCCCTGAGGGGCCGGTGTTTAAAAATAATTCGAACAAAAGCAAAGACAATTGTCCGGCCCTGAGGGTGTTTGTATTGGCCAGGCTTTGTGTGTCCAATTCTCAATCAAAAGAGAGAGCGAGAGAGATCGTGGGGATCGGAGAGAGGGTAGGGCATTGACGTCAATGCCAAATATTTTTGAATTTTTTATAAATTCCACTGATTTTTTATTCGAGATTTGGTTGATTAAGGCGGGATTGAGGGGAGGTTGATCAACGTGAAACATCACTGATATGATTCAGGATTTTGGGTTTTTGTTTTTACTGTTTTGGGCTTGTTTTGAAGAATTGGGGAGCTGGAGGGGTGGTTTGTAAAATCGGATGGGTAAATTAGAGTTTGGTTGTGGAAGGTTAAGGTGAAATTAGATAAGGGGTAGGGTAGAATTTGGGTAAAATTAGAGTAGGATTAGAGTAGGATTAATGTACGATCAGGGTTGGGTAGGGTAGAATTAAGATATGTTAGAGCAAAACCAAAGTAAAATTAAAGTAGGATAGGGCAGGGTATGGTAAGGTAGGGTAGGGTATTTTGTAAGTTCGAAAAAATTTTAAAAATGCTGCCTCAAAGAGATTTTTTTTGTTTAAAATTAATGTATAGGCAAGGTAAAATACGTGGTTTACTATATATTCACATCTTGTGTTTTTTACAATTATTTTTCAATTTAAATTTTAACTTTTTCCAATTTCAATTTAAAAATAATTTGCAATTTCTTGTTTTTCGTGTAAAATTTGAATTGCGGGACAAGTACGTAACGGAAGCTACGTGTTGTATACGTACTATTTGTTTATCCAAAATCTTGTACTCATGCCCCGGTGAAACACTTCCGTACTCTTTAATACTGTAAATCCCTTCCGCGCTCTTTATGTGTACGAAACACGGGGTTTCTGACGTGGGTTTTGAAATTGAAAATAATTTTTTTTGTTTTTATAATAAGTAGTGTGCTTTGGTACATGCTATAAGTCATGTAGATCAACATTGGTATGTTAAAGATAAATCAAAAAGATTTCGAGCTAGGGTTAGAGCAAAGCAAAGGCAGGGTAGAGTATGGTTAGAGTACGGAAAAGCAAAAGCAGAGCACAAGTGGGGCTAGGAGAGGTTTAGGCCACACCTAGGCTAGCTTAAAAAAGGCCATGTATATCTTCTTATACAGGGTGCGCCAAAAGTTCTGTTACACGGTTTTTTAATTAAATATTTATTTTAACATCAAA